GAGCACTACCAAATGAATAAAGCCTGTGTACACATAGACAGCTCCCTGTAAGCCATCCTACTCATGAAAACATTCATTCTTTTTCTTTCCCATGAACACACACTAACACACACACACACACACACTTTGTTCCTCCTTAGAAAAAACCTGTAAATGCTGGAACGCACTTAAAGACTCCTCAGCTGGACGTTGAGGGGGAAAAATGCATTTAGCATGAAATTATCACTGTCAGCAGGAGGCTGGTGTAATGGGAATGCTGGTTATCACAGAATGATGCTTATTCTGTTTGTGCGAGGAAAAAAGCCGAGAAGGAAAACAAATCTCGTCCCCTGTGTTTGAGAGCATTACACCAAAACATCAGCGCTATGGTTATCACCACAACTTATCACGCACTTACAAAAACATCATTCACTGGGGAAGATTTAACGGGCCTGTGGAATTAATCTCTGGTTCTCAAAAAAAAAAGAAACGGTTTAATTTATAGGTAAAATTTTTGATTTTTTTTTTTCTTGTAACAAGAAGCGACTCGTCAGTCACTCAAAAGAGCTGCTATTTTGCACCTGTGTGTGAAACTGTAGATTATATTAGAGGGTGAGGGCATTGTCAAAATATAAAAAATGAAGTATGATATTCCACAGAAGTGACTAACTAGTCATCGAAATTGTAACATTTATACTCACTGACAATTTATCAGATACACCTTGCTAGTATCTGGTTGGCCCCCCTTTGCCTTCGGAATTTATGTTCTTTGCATAGATTCAATAAGGAGCTGGAAACATTGCTCAGAGATTTTGATCATTTGGCTGATATCATTTAGTTAGGAGGATCGTCCCAGCATGCGATCTTGACTTTGCTACTCTGTGTTTCCGTGAGGCAGGTATCGTGTGGTGGTTCCGTACCCACCCCAGAGCGAGGCAGAGATCGAGCTGCGGGAGGGAGACGTGGTGTTCGTCCATAAGAAGAGGGACGACGGCTGGTACAAAGGCACTCTGCAGAGGACGGGTCAGACCGGCCTGTTTCCAGGCAGCTTTGTCGAGAGCTTCTGAACTGCAAAAAGTGGACGAATGAATGCACACATTGTTCCTGTTACTGAGTCATAAAACACATGAACACACACACACAAAATCCAAGGTTGGGCTGATATTAGCTTCCCCAGATTTATCTTTGTTTTATTGGATTAAAGCTCAACAAGGCCTTAAGAGGCGGCTAACCTCGAAAACAAAGGAGATTTTTTTGTTATTTATATTTGCCAAAGTAATCTGTTTGGAATTAAAATGTTTTTGATTCTATTGGAAAATATAATTCAGAATGAGAATACTTTATTAATCCATAAAGAAATTATACTATTAATTATTAATTATTGGTGTTGGCTATAGTAATCCATATCAGTCCAACTTATCTACACACGCAAACACATATACACACTGATAATGTACAGGAAAGCT